TTCCCAGTTCCATTCCCAGTCCATTCCCAGTTCCATTCCCACCATTCCCAATCCATTCCCAGTTCCATTCCCACCGTTCCCAGTTCCATTCCCATCGTTCCCAGTTCCATTCCCATCGTTCCCAGTTCCATTCCCATCACTCCCAGTTCCATTCCCAGTTCCATTCCCACCATTCCCAGTCCATTCCCATCACTCCCAGTTCCATTCCCAGGTTCCATTCCCAGTTCCATTCCCACCATTCCCAGTCCATTCCCACCATTCCCATCTCACCGGGTAGGCGAGGCCCTGCTGCAGTCTCCGGTGGTGCCGGAGGTGCTGGATCCGATCCTCGGGAATTCCGGGATCGTAGAGCATCCCGCAGGATCCGCACTGCAGCGCCCCCAGCTGCCGCTGCCCCGCGTCCTGCCCGCCAAAACCGCAATTCCGGGAAAAAAGTTGGGAATGAGGGAAGGGAATTCCGGGGAAAAGCTGGGAATGAGGGCAGGGAATTTCGGGGAAAAGTTGGGAATGAGGGCAGGGAATTCCGGGGAAAAGCTGGGAATGAGGGCAGGGAATTCCGGGAAAAACTTGGGAATGAGGGGAGGGAATTCCGGGAAAACTTGGGAATGAGGGGAGGGAATTCCGGGGAAAAGCTGGGAATGAGGGCAGGGAATTCCGGGAAAAAGTTGGGAATGAGGGCAGGGAATTCCGGGGAAAAGTTGGGAATGAGGGCAGGGAATCCTGGGAGAAGTTTGGGAAGGCAGAAAGGGAATTCCAGGAAAAGCTCAGGAATGCAGGGAGGGAATTCTGGGAATGTCAGGAATATGGGGTGGAAATTCCAGGAAAAGTTTGGGAATGTGGGGAGGGAATCCCAGAGAATGGTGGGAATGAGGACAGGGAATTCCAGGGAAAGTTTGGGAATGTGAAAAGGGAATCCTGGGAATGAGGGCAGGGAATTCCAGGGAATGATGGGAATATCAAAAGGGAATCCTGGGAATATTGGGAATATGGGAATGGAATTCCAGGGAAAGCTCAGGAATGAAGGAAGAGAATTCAGGGAAAAGTCAGGAATGTGGGGATGGAATCCCAGGAAAAGCTTGGGAATGATGTGAGAGAATTCCAGGGAAAACTTAGGAATGAAAGAATTCCAGGAAAAGTTGAGTATGAGGGGAGGGAATTCTGGGAAAAGCTTGGGAATACAGGAAGGGAATTCCAGGAAAAGTTGGGAATGTGGAGAGAGAGAAAGGGGGAGAAGGGACGGGAATGTGGGATTTGGGGAATGTGGGATTTGGGGAAAGGAAGGGATTTAGGGATGGGGATCTGGGAAGAAAATCCAGGATGGGAATTTGGGATTTCAGGAAGGGTTTGGAGCCCCAGGAACGGCCCCACATTCCAGGATTTCAGGGCTTGGGATGTGATCAGGGATTTGGGATTTTGGGAATTTCCCCTCCCCCCCCTCCAGGGATCCAAGACCTGGGAATGATCCCAAAAAACTGGGAGTGATCCCAAAATTCCCAATTCCCACTCCACACCTCCCAAATCCCTTGGATTGTCCCTCCCAGGGTCCTTCCCAGGGAATTCCCAAATTCCCAGGGAACATTGGGAATCTCACAATGATCATCTGATCCCGGGAATGCTGAGAGGATTCCTTGGATTTCCTGGGAGCTTTTCCAGAGGGGCCGATGGCAAAGGGAGCTGGGAGCTCCTCCAGGGGCCTGGAAAACACAGGGAA